CAATTATAGATAGCTCAATTCATTCCATTTTATTTGAGACTACTGGCAGTTTCTTGTGCTACACACAATCATCAGGTATGAACAAGGTGTTATGCAGCCTAACACCTTGTTCACACCTTATTATTTTTGTCCCATTTGCTTATTCTATTTTCTAGCTGTGTTTGAGCGGGCCTTGAATTTTAGTTGGGGCCCCAACGAAATCCGTTTTAACTAATAGACACTTTTCTAATTCAGGCACTTTCTTACATTTAATATAATCATATAATGAAGATTTTGTACAAGTATTACTTAACCACATCATTACACATTTGACGATTAATAAATTTAAATGACTTAACCATGTTTAATCACGTGGGATATCAGTAGAGAACACATGTTTAAATCCAGCGTCACTGAGCATTTTGATAGAATTAGGCCTAAGCCATTTCCATCTTATGTTAACATCATTAATATGTATGGCAAACAACCACTTAATAACAGTTTAGGCCATCTGTGATCATCTAAATTAACACGTCTGTCAAAGTATTTAATTTGCTTACTATTGATATTCTCAATTGTATCCCAAACCGACCTTTAAGGCAGATGACGGCGTATTTCTTGGTGCTTTAAGAATTGATTTAGCCATTTTAGTTGTAAGTTTTCCAATTTGTTGTAATCACTTGCACTATATGCAGATGAATGTAGGTAAAAATGGCCCCGGTAAAAATGGCCCCAATGAAAAAATTCAGTAATAGAAATAATATTTTTTTTTAAATCTTCAAATATTTAAATAAAAGGCCTAGTTGTAAAAAGCAAGAATTGAATCAATAACAAATACAGTTACACAACAGATGCAAATAATGTACTGAGATATTATCGGAAAACAATGGCCACTGAATAATATATTTGATAAGAGAAATAAGTTTTAAAAACGTTATTCCACTAACAAAGTAGAGGAATGACATACATACAGTACTTCAGCTACCAAAATATGCAACTCCTAGATAACCACAAAATTCACTTTTGTTAAGTACCGTATCAAATGAAATAACTTTACATGTTATAAACAATGCAAATAAACAGTAGTTAAGCATGTGGATCAATTGTGTGTTTGAATCACAAGTTCATGTATAGGAAAAGGGAGACTCTTACTTTCTCACAAACTTAGCAATAAATGTGCTTAGAGTTACTTCAAAGAAGTATTTGTTAATCATATATTGTTTTTAAAGTAAACTGAATAATTAGGAATAGGCCTACATTTATTTAAGCAACTTATTTAATTGCATACTTGGTTTTTACTTCCCGCCAACTAAATTTAAGTGCCTAAAACTATACTAAATAATGTAAACTGAGATACTATATATATATATATATGTAAATATGGCAATTATGCTAAGAATTAAAATGGTGTGTAATTGTGAGGGTATAGGGAGGATTATGGTATTTCTAAATCCCACAAACCTCCCAAAACACACTGTAGAAAACTAAACAATTCAATTTTGATTGACTTACTTGGTATATCAATAAGAAAATTAAATATTCTTAAGAACCTATTTTTTGGTTAAAATGTTGATATTTTGTGAAAATAAATACACCAAAAACCGCCAAACACACTGCGAACCCCACCCAAACCCTTTAATTATGATGGTAGAACTCTCTATTTCTAAAAAAAAAAACAAAAACAAAAAAAAACAAAACAAAAAAACAACAATAATTTGATGTTCATATAAACTCATTGTTTGTGGGGCTTACCAATACCCGGATTGAATTTCTGGAAAATTGTGATTCAGTGAAATTGGCCACAAATAAATTATTTTAGTATTATTAAATGCATGATTTATGTTGATTTATTGATTATGTTGTTGCTATTTTTTAACATTTAAATGGAAAAAAAGTGTTATTCATGGCTTTTTTTTATCTTTGAATATTTTATAATTGTTGAATATGTAATTCCTGCAAAAAGTAAAATGTAAACGGCAATTTATTTGATGATAGATTCCTTTTTAAAAACTAAATTATTTCAGTTAAAAGAAATGCATATAATGATTTTAAAAAATCAGTCTTAATACAGAATTTTATTATTGGGGCCATTTTTACCTACCTGTCATTTGGGGCCATTTTTACCGGGGCCATTTTTTCCTGGGCCATTTTTACCGGGGCCATTTTTCCGGGCCCATTTTTTCCTGGTCCATTTTTTCCTGGGCCATTTTTTCCGGGGCCATTCTTACCGTACACCATATGCAGATACCGCACACGTATGGACGGAAGCGCAATGTTCTTAAACAAAATATCCCAAAAATAAACTCTGTTAAAATTATTCTGACTATTAATAATGGATTTAATGTAACCGATTAATCTGTTACCTTTCCTTGTAACCTGATTAACATGAACACATTCGGAAAAGCTCCTAGATATGTTAACACCCAGGTAGGCCTACTTATAGCTATCAACTTCTGTAATATATCACCTAAAGGCCAATGTTTATTTTTGTTTGTCCGTTTGCCAACCACATTTCACTTACTAAATTTGAAGTTAAGTTTCCGTTTATTAGAAAACTGACTGGTAATATTAAGCTTTGTAAATCAATTTCTTCATTGCCAATCAAAACGACGTCATCAGCCCACTCAGGCAGCTAATTTTCCTGCCTAAGGTATTATAACAGCCTACATGTTCATTACGTAACATCTTAGAAAGTTCATTAATAAAAATACAAAATAGAAAATGGGAGACAAGACGCAACCTTGTTTTACACCTTCATTTACACCGAAAAAAATCTGTAACAACATCACCAAATTTAACATTGTATTGAACGTTGGTATATAGCTTATCAATTATATTCCATCTACCACGGATACCAGTATTCCAAGCAATTGACAGAAGGCCATTTCGCCAAACGGAAAGGGCTTTTTAATTAAGAGTCGCGCCAAACAAAGCTGTGCTCTACGTGTCACGTCCTGACTGACTTATGGAATTTCAGGACTAAAATCTTAAATACCGTACCACCATCCAATTAAATTTAAACTAAGAAGCAGTTATTCATTTTATTATTATTATTGTTTTAAGTTAAAATTGTTATTTTTTATTTATTCGCATATATTTATTTACATGTGTGTATGAATTTATATTTATGAGTGCATGTATGTATTTGTTTGTGTAAGTATATATATATGTGTATGTGAATGTATGTATGTGTATATATATATGGACACTTGTGTGTGTGTGTGTATGTATATATAATATATGTGTATATGCACATGTATATGTATATGTGAGTATATATATTTGTATATATATATATATATATATACATAGCTTGATAAAGACTTATAGTCGAAAGTACTCGCTAACTCTGAAAATAAATTTTGTGGCATATATCTGATACCATCTGACTCGTTATTTACTGTATGTATATTTGCCTATNNNTGTGTGTGTAATTGTATGCGTATTTATTTATGAACTCATTTATTGAATTACTGTACATGTTTTTTAATTTTACGTATACATTTTTATCTTTTAACTGGGGTGAGGATGGGGGCTGTTCAGTATCTTTTCATGTATTTAGTTTTCTTTGTCCAGTGTTAATTCATTATGTTTTAATTCTATTTTTTAATTTTGCTGTTTCTGAACTAATTATATTTTTCATTACTTGTTTTCTTTTTCATTTTCATTGTTTTTCTTGTATTTTTGTGGTTTTAAGTTACAATCTTATATATTGTCGTGTGCTTTATAAAAGCGTTGTTCAATAAAGTTCAATTCAATTAAACATCTAAAGCACTTTTAATGAATTACACCCTCAACGTTTAATTTTAGATCCAGCAAAGATAAGATCTTTTGAGAGATCCAGGGACGCTGTCAACAAGCCTCTGAAATTGTACGATATTCAACTTTTTTTGGTAGATAATATCAGATAGCTGTGAAGACATAGGCCTAATAAGAATTTTATTGCTGAAAATAATCAGTGGTAACATGAAACAGTGCTACTATAAGGCTAGGCCTGGATGGACCCCACTCTTGCTCAAGAGGCCATGCAAGTGCTGCTCGGCCGGGCTAGTAGGGCCTAGGCTAGGCCTCAGCCAGCTACGTTTTCTGCAGTGTAGGCTACGGACTGAGTAGGCCTAGCCTAAGCTAGGTAGGCCTATCTAGTAGTAGTAGTACTCTCCCAGATAAGCAGGTGGGGATGCGACTAGACCTGTTGTTTGTGGAGGTGAAAGACTTACAACGTAGTTTAATATCATTAATTTCAAGTCAATAAAAATTTTTTAAGTTCAGAATTTTACATAAATTAATTTAATCAACAGAGATGTAGCATACAAACATGAAGCAGGTGTCAAGTAGAAGTCTTCAGGAAGCTCGTCAACGATTGGCTCGTTTCCCTCATGCATTGTCTCAATGTTCACAGCAGGTTATTTTTTTTAATTTCATAACCTTTATGTATTGTATTTGCATGTTACAACAAATAATATAAAGCGAGACTTTATTTTATTCCTTGTTTCGCGCACATATTTTTTTAAGATTATTGGAGGAGGGCGGAATAAAAATAAAATGTTGTTTTCTTATTTAAGCAAATAGTTTTGCCGAAATCATCCAGACGGAGGAGAAAATAAAAATAAAATTTTATTGGGGAATGTAAAATAGGATGGTTAAATGCTTCAAATTATATAATTATGAAGAAATATACATATCTTATCTTTGGAGATTTCAAGGCAGCGGGAGGGCGTAATAAAAATAAAGATGAACTTTTATTTTTTTCTGAAATTTCAACTTTTTCGTGGCAGCGGGTGCGCTAATTGGTCAAAAATAAAATGTTATGTTTATTTGAAATCATCAATATTTGCAGTCGTATGGTTTGCTAAGCAAGGTATAAAAAAAGTCTTGCCTGAAGAACATTAAAATGTAAGATGGTGGGATGTCAAAAGACCAGTCAAGAAAAAATAAATAAAACATCCATTGATCTGTTCAGCCAACTCCAAGATCCAATATTTTATTTATTTATATTAAATTGTTTGTTTTGCCTATTTAATAACACATAGGCATATTCACTGAAAGAAAGCAGTGCTGGTCAAAACACTTAAAAGGAGTGATAGACATGCAAATACTAGTTGATCCTGCCCCTATCATGTGAAGTTATTTTCTGACAATCATCATTATGTGAGTGCCTTTGTCATTGTCACCTGGGCCTACAGTACTTTATAACTAATATTCTGTGTTTCAGGCATCTATATATGGAAATTGTGTAGCTGCTAAAGAGAATGTTTCCAAAGACTGTTGTGCAAAAGAATTCCAAGCTTTTTCTAAATGCTTTCAAGCAGCTGTAAGTCTGAGTCATTACTTCTACTGTATTACTGTATTTTTTTAGTGAGCACATTGTACTTTATTATCTTTATCACCAGTGGAAGTGTTTCTCCATATTATCATGTGATCTACCCAAACATAAATTTACAATACAGTACTGCTCATTTTGCTAGTATATATACTTTATACTTTTTTTTCCCTTTTTAATAAATTGTCTTAGTACTGTAATTGCATTGAAACATGTAAAAGTTCAGTATTAATTAAGTGCTTTGACATTCACAGGTGAAGACCAAATGATGATGTCATCAATGCGTTGATCGGAACTGATGAAATGAATTGAGCATCGAGCATCAATAACAGCAGGGCAGATTGTTGATATGGATGCTAATTCTTCCAGATGGTCTGTTTGTTCTGTATATTGACATGTACTGGGAATAGAGGTTGTGATATGATTCATTAGAGTAGTTTTGGAGATGATGTTCAGAACAAGGCAATGCGTGAACAATATTTCAAACATTTCCAAGCTCAAAATTTGTGTTGTTTCCCGTCTCAGTTCTTTAGTTCATTCTGCCCATACGTTTTCATCATTGAAATCAATAATATTGTGGTGTTAATTATGGAAAATCATTGTTTATAGAGTTATTGTGGGAATTCTGCTTTTTAAGCAGTTGTAGAAAACACCCACACACAGGACCATCAAATGAAGTTTGACAATGCCTAATATAAAATCAGTTTTGACTAAAGACGAAAAGCAACAGATACACACTGCAGTAGTTGGTGGAAAGGTTCAAATAAACGCTGCAAATAACAGAGAGATAAAACCATGTCTCCTCTTTAATTATTAGTGCATTTTATTAATTATATTTAAAAAAATTATTTCAAAAAGCCATGTTATTTCTCATTCTTAATCATTTGCATCGTACAAAAATAACTCGCATATATTCCATATGAAAACAGATAACCAAAACATGTACAATATGTATCTACTGAAAGCTTATCTCTACTGCAGTGAATGGGAGTGGAGTTCCTGGGGAAGGGTGGCTCCGGAGAATACAACACCAATACATTACAAGTAAGCAGTCATTTAAACTGAATACATTACGATGACCTGTTAAGGGAAGTGGTTATTGGTAATAACAGGATTATTGACTACAAATGCTAGAGGATTTCAGATCTTTGTTATATAATTTTCATAACACGTACCTTCCAACATATTGCTAGATATTTCTTGTAATTTTTATATCTATGTTTTTATTTAAAAAAATTACCAGGTGGTTGTTATTTTGACAATGGATTCCAATATATTGAAATTGTATTGGTATCACAGAGGAAAATGTACATGGAGCAGTACTTACTACCACTATCACTAACGAAAAAAAATACCTGACTTCCGTTGTATATATATATAAATATATATATATATATAACAGTACATCATAAGCCAAGGTTTTTTTTTTTTTTTTTTTTTTTTAAGGAAGCTAAACTTTAAAATCTCAATTGAGGTCTCAACTGTGGAACTCTGAAATCATTTTAACATTTGGTTTTTTTTTTTTACTCTGTAACAGAAATTAAAGCTAAACCATATGTAATCGGTCATATAGTCTGTACTCAAGTTAAAGTACACGAATAATGACACTATCATACCCTACCATCATTTGTAGTATGTATCCCGTGTGAGATAATACTTGTCTTCAAATGCAATCTATTCATAATTCCCACAGTATCATATCCTTCAATAGGATTTCTGAATGAAAAAATACAGATACACCAAATTGTATGACAAACTAAGAAGGGTTAAATTCACTCACTATAAATCTGACATGTTAATTACTGCCTTCTGTTGTGAAATGACAGGAAAACATACCCTCTATATATTTCTCAGGCAGACATGTTTTGAGCAACTGCATTTACATCACACAGAGTATAACAATACTATATGACAAATCTAAATCATCAAATTCTGTCATCTTGAGAACACTAGAGTATTAAAGTCAAACTAACTTTTACAGAAGGGCTGTTATAAATGCGTAACCATAGAAACCAAAAGCTGGGCACAAACTGTCGGCTGATGGTGCAATTCAATCAAGATTAAGTTGGTGTGACTTTTTCAACGATTGCCCACTTACACTGCCACTGACAATCTGCAGACAGCGTCTCAAAGACAAGTGTGTACAGAACGAAGGTGGATTTGTCAGCCAACACTGTATATGCCCAACTTAAGGGTGCCATCACTTATTTCACTTCACAATTCCAATATTTTTCCACATTTTAGTCTTCTACTTCGAAAGATGCATGATAAACTTTAAATATTCAAAATGCCATGCCATAAGTCCAGTCAATGTAACCTTGACAACCATTATAGGTTGTGTGATTGACAGGCCTGCTAGTAGTATTGCAACAAGGAATCACAGTCATACCAGCACCATTATTCAACCTTTAAACCATTCATACAAAATGTAATACCAGCATGTCCCATTAATAACAATTTATAAATTATGAAATAACATGATGTCCCTATATTCATACATTATTAATTACCAACATGTCCCTTTAATAACATTTATAAATTAACAAATAACAGCATGTCCCTTTAATAACATTTATTAAAGGGACAAAGTTGGTATGTTAGGTTAGGCTTATATGAGCAAACAATCATTAAGTAAAGATCACACTTGGTGGGATAAATAGAACCTAAAAATTGTAGTGCATTATTTACAATTCATATAATTTATTTTTAAAACTTACTAATTTTCTTTTATTATTCTAATATGATTATTTATTAAATATTCTTTCTTTTAACACATATCAATACCTTTATTACTTGAGGGGATTTAGTTTACAATGATTTAACATAACATAGGTATTTTATATAGTGCCTTTCACAATCAAAAAACACATTAAAGCACATCTAATATTATAACCCCTGGATCCATATCAGCATGCAAATTCCTTAAAAAACCCCTTTCAAATAAAAAAAAAAACAGTAATTGCATCAATAATTTGTAATGCCACTTTCCACAATGAGAACGTCATGCTTTCCGAATTCAACGAGATGGATTAGATCCATCCAGAATTCATCATTAGCAGTTTACAGACATCCTGGCTTGCTTAATCAACTTCCATCTACTTTTTTCAGGACATAAATATACTAATACTTATATCAAGGACTTTGAAGTCCTTACTTATATTCAGCTAAGCTATTGAATAGCACGAAAATCGGTCCTCCTGTACTTTTCACAGAGAACGACCCCCTCCCCCCTTATGGATACATTCACAATGATTGATGACGTGTTCAGTTGTACAGTATTGTGACTAACTTTTTAGATATTCCAACAATGTCATCGTTACATCATTCTTTATCTCCATGGTTACAATCGCAATACCTCACACGTCAGGTTGCATTGTGACACACAAACAATGATATCGTTGGTCAAATCTGAAGAGATGTAGCATATCTAATCGATTTTTGTTGTTAGCAATCAACAGTTGCATCCTCTTGTCATCCTCTTGTGAAAGAAAGATTTTTCTAAGCATCAATTAGACTGGCATACCAACTTATCCCTGGGAAACACAAAGTACAAAAACCTAAACTGCCCGACTCCAATGCCCACAATAATACATTGAGGATTACTGACAATTATCAATATGTATATATGCATCTTTGAACCAGGTGTTCTTTTATCAGCACCCATAGAAACAATAAATTTTGGTAGGATAGAATGTTTCATAATCTGTTGATTCAAGTAGCTAACACAAAACAAATCTAAACAGCACAGAAATCCATACGAAGGAACACCTTACAAATTAAATGATTATATTTCATTACAGTGTTCAAAATCAGTTATTTAATACACAAATAAAAAAAAAAGAAAAAAATGTTCATTTCCCAACATAAAAACCCCATAAAAATTGGAATAATTATGTTCCTTGATATTATAAAAAAATATTGCTAGTAGTTTTATGACCAATGATAGAGGTGAATTCCAAATTGAAAAGTTTTTATACTTGGTTTTTCCAAGTGGAAGTAGACACAAAGATAGATACTGAAAATACCTTTTAACGCCATTTACAATGCCTGAAGAGGACAATTGCACATAAACCACATTTAAAATCCAACCACATTAGATCCTGTTCTCGAGCCCTGTAATTTAATTATCGTCATAAACTTTTACTCACTTTAAAAATTTCTTTTTAATTTCAATTTTGAGTGGAAATCGCAATGGAAATTAATTGGAATGCTGATAAAATCTTTTCATTAGCAAATTAACCTATTAATTTCAGTTATGTTTTATTCATTAAGAAACCATGTAATTCACAATAATAAATGAATTATTTAATAATTACAAATAAAAAATATGAATAAAATTAAGTTTGATTTGATCAACTTAAAGGCGGTGGTATGTTCTAATGTACTGAAAATGGTAAAGTTTAAATATACAAAAAATTTATAAAATTATTTCACCGCATTTGATCACCAAAAACATAAATATAATTATATGGTGACATGAAGCTATGTAGAAATCATTAAAAAAAATTTAAAAAAAATGGAAAAGATTTATTAATCTATTATTCCATCAAGTAATAAATCAAAGATCAAGGTAAGATCTGCAAATATCACTGTAAACACAAGATTATGCAAACATGTTTAAAAGAGACAGGTGGTCATAGTTGCTAAAAATATAGTGTTATCTAAAACTAGGCCAGTGGAACACCTGAACCAGTTGTTGGGAAGTCTGTCCGGATTTTAATTAGAATCTCTTTCGAAGGCAGAGACTACCTGCCTGAGCGTGCCATTTTCAAGCATCTAGGTAGAATAGCTTTTAGCATCTTACCCCATCTGTCAGGTAAATATGCACCACTTATCAGGGGAAATGCTGATGCAACTGTTGAACATCAGCATAATCTGCTTTTTTGTTTCATTTGCAGACCTAGTGTATTACTCCAAAATGATCAGATACACAACTTTCTATCTTCTAACTTTCTTGATTCAGCTGTTTTCATATTAAATTGCTTTACGGTTTGATTTAGTCTTTCATCTTCCTATAGAATTTTTTACTTTTCCATTTCAATTCAATTCACAAGATGGTTGTCTCTTCCTAATTTTTTCCAGACCACATCTGCAGACTTTACTGTCTGCTTTTTAAAACGACCAATTAAATTCTTTTTAGTAGTTTCCTTTGAAATACTATTTAATCTGGTTACAAATGTATTAATCTGATATAATTTATGAAAAGTTTATAGTTTTTTTCTTTTAATATTGGTTGAATATTGAATACTAATAAATCCAACAGAACTATGATGACAGACAAAAACAACGTAAGAATATTTTAATTCATTCTTACGTTGTTTAAATTAACAGAAAAAATGTCAGAAACTTGATATTGGTATTATTTTCCAAAAACCCCATTATATAGTTTCCCTATATGTTTCTATAACAATGGCCTTTGAAGAGAACAACTATAGGATCTGATAAAAGCTAGGTGATTGTGATAGATTCGTCGTAGATTACACATGTATAAATATTGATGACTCTTCATCATCTCTATCTCTGTTTCTTGTCTTCTCCATTGACGGCCATCTTCATCAAGTCACTGGCTACTAGTGTGTGAGCTGAGCCATTGAGTGCACTCCCGTTGTGATGAGTGTGATTACTCATGTTATGATTTTTCTCTACTTTCTCCTCCGTTGACTTTACTCTTCGCTTTGGTCTGGGCAAAACAATTAGTGCAACCAGTCCTAGGATATGCAGGAACCAGTATATGGAGCTAGAAGAAAAAATCAGAGTTGGAATCAAGTAAAGGTAAATGTAGGAGAATAACTTGCAGTGTCATTGTGTTGAATTTTGTATGGGCGTGGTCTGTGACTACTAGCCTCAGTAAAGAGGCGATTATAGTAGCTTTTTGTGGGGCTGAAATGAACCATAGCATCAGGGTAACCCCCTGCAATGGGTTCTTTAAAGTGCACACGAGCCAGACGTGTCCTCGTGTTCACTGGACCTTCATTTCAAGTCCTCTAGAATCGAGGAGCGGCTTGAACCAGCGCGGTTGTTAAGGCAGTAGTAAATGATGGTAACAACTGGTATCAACCACGTGACAGGGACACTCTAAAAGTGAATTAATTCACTGTTGAGGAAAAGACAATGGCGAACATGAGATTTAGTATTCAGTATTTAGTATCTGTTTCCTAGTATGGAATCAACTCTTGGAGGTACTTATAATGAATAGTAATATTTGTCAGAGTTGTTGTGGACATTTCAATTTTGAAATACAGATCTTTCGATGTTTCCCTTAATGTACGGATGGGAATAGAAATGGGTCGGAAGGCCACACACATACACAGATATAGTAGCTTGTTAAAATTTGATGTTACTGGTGTGTTTGTAAAAACCTTTATGCAATGCTTTTAAAGCGCTTTATGCTCAGTTTTGATATTACTTTTACAGAGTATCGTGCCATAACAAGGAGGGTTTTTCTTGACAGAGATGGCCACATACATGGAGTTTTTAATTTATTTTTGTGGGTGGCAAAAGAAATCATTGTCAGGTCACACTTGGCCCACCTGCGGTCTATCTGGTCTATTATATGTTGGCTTTTGGAAGTCATTGGACATAAACATTGGTTCTATGAGGGCATAATGTAAACCACTAAAAACCAAAAAGCAATGATGCATTTAACAGTCCACTTACTTGAAATACTCTATGGTAGGTGCTACCTTTAAGAAGGTAAATGGAGCAATAAAGTAAGCCAGTGTCAGGTGAGTCACAAACCAAGTGATTACATCATACAGTTGCTTCGTCCTCACAGATTTCAGAAAATATGGACGAATTGAATACCGCAACTGCAGAAAGTTTTAGAAAAAATGCAAATAATAAGAATTTGACATTACATTCAACATTACATTTGACCTCTAAATAAAAAGATTCATATAAATACACAAAAAAAATATAAAGTAATAGATGATCTACATATAAATTATATCTCAACATTTGCTTATTGTAGTTTCCTAAGCACCATACTATTACTATTGGGATTGGACTTATATTGGTCAAAACATATACCTGGTCAGTTTGGTAAACCTAAGTAACCCAAGCCATGAGGTAAGTTCAACAGAGCGATTTGCACCGATATATAATAAACAGGAATGTTTTCCTGAAGTAGTCAACTTCAGTGCAAGCACCGCAACTCTAAATCTACTTCAGCGGAGTATTGAATGTAATGGAAAATTTTATTCTGCACTTGTGCACTGAAAATCTATAAATTCAGACTTGTCTACATTTGACTGCGTGCTATAGTTGTGTATTTAACAGCAATTTTGCGCACGTGAAAAAGTATTTAAATACAAGTGCTAAAAGCTGTACAATTTCGCCAAGGGAGTTATCATTCAGTATTCAATGTAATTTATTGTCATTTTTAAAAATCATGTTACATAGAAATACTGCATAGGTCCGCTCATAAAAAATAAACAGAAATAATAACTAGGTAACAATATAACAATATCAGGTAATAAAATAACCCCCATGGACACCATCCTGTTATTTCTGAATCAAGGTTTCACGGCTTAAAAAACTGAGATTCTCATCTTAGTCAAATAGATCTAATGTGGACATGGTTTTAGAATAAAACTAAACCCTGTGAAAGAACATTGACTTGTTTCTAAATAGGTCCTCAGTCGAAACCCAAAATATAAATAACTGGACTAGCAACACTGTTACTTCTAAACAGTTAATGATATACGACCACCTCACCTTTGCCGCCACTGCACTGAAAAACGCTGCTGACATAAATGTTGCAAAATATCCTGGGTAAAACCCATGCCAAACAGCTGATAAAATGAAAGTGAAGAGACGTTTCTGAAATGGTACACGGTCGTAGCAGCAATGACGCAGCCAGATTGTACCAGTTATGTTCCAATTCTCAATCAGTGTCTTTAAACTAGTTGCTGTCTGTAAATAATACAATGTAAAAGCATTTGTATATTGATTAATAATACAAAAATTATTGCATAATTTGTATGCTACATTGATCGCAAATGCTTGAAAGCATTTCTGATCAAAATTAGAAAATAATTGACAGACCTGTGAGGAACTATAAAATTAAATAAATAGCACATTAACTTTGGAAATTGAGTTTAAAATAAGCTTTTAATTGAAAATTAAAATGTGAAAATATTTTGTCAGTTTCTATAGTTATCATATCAATCCTTTGCAGACCCATTCAAGAAAATTTGTTATATGTTACTATACTAAATAGACTAAGTCTCACAGGTTATATTTGCCTATAATTAACAAAACATTCATACCGGTAGGTTGATCGTCAACAATCAGAGCATACTGTTGAATGTTATGAATAATAATATTTTCACAGAGACATACCAAGTGTAACACTACCATGATGTTTCAAGTGATCTCAAGAGAGCATAGGACAGTATACTTTCAAGTACAATATGGTGTATAAAATATAGACAAAAGCATATTTACTTCAAAATCTATAATCCTGATATTTGAAATTCCATTCCACTTCGGTCGTCCTTTCTTATCGTAGCCGGCGAAACCAATTCCAGCGGCATTGTTGATGGCGTCAGCTGAACAAAAAAAAAAACCTATTTAATTTTTTGGCCATCTGATTGGATCAATTTTAAAATGGAAATAATTGTGCCATACCAAGTGATAGACACTGTGAGGGTGGGTGCATGATAACATTGGGCCATTAGCTTTAGACTGGGTGGAAAACTTAAGGCTGGGTGGCCCTGTCCACCATAACTAAATCCCTGCAGGTTAAATGACAACAGTACACTGCAGATGCATGCTATGCTGTGTCCTGTACCTGCATTTTTACTGTGATTCATAGCATCAAATTTAGCAGGACAGTCAGTCAATGGAAAAACCAGCAAGATCTTTCAAGGTCCTCCAGGAAGGTTACAAATTTTGGAATATTCATAAAATAAGTTAATTATTTAACCAGCATTTTGACACTTATACGCTTCCAGAGATTCTCTCCTACACTCTAAGGCAGAGCAAAGCAGAAAATAAATACTCACAATTTACACTCTTGTGCTCTATAGTTGCATTATTATTATTATTACAATAATTATTTTATAATTTTACAATGTCTGAAATATATGTTGACTCTCTTGGACTGGAGGCTTTAATGAGAAATAAATAGAAAATAATGAACTCCCATTATTAAAACTGTTGTAGAGTGAGTTACTGTAGCCTACAATCACGTATTTAAAAACTCTTTGAATTGCAGATATTGCACTGTACCATATCAATTCTTTGAAATATTAGATAATTAGTGTAAAAACATCAAAATTAAATATAAATAAATGCCATGGTGTGTCTGGTGTGAGTTACAATTTCTGTCTTAGTTAAACTATGGAGGTATTATTGATGCGACAAACCAATGTGTTCCCCGCCTTTGGATTGCATGTGGGCATATTATCTTATTAACATTTTTTTCGTTAGCAATAACTTGGCAACGACATGCTTTTAAACGCTTTGACACAGCAGTTGTGCGATAAACCGTTTGGCTTTAACTCATTAAAATTAAAAAGGTTCCCCTGATTGGATTTTTTCGGACTTTTAGTATGTTATTATGTGTATATTTCAAGAACAGATTCCATAAAATATTTCTGTTACAATTACTTCTGTGTTCATTACAATTTCGTCTACAGATCATCAAAATTAGTTCGTCTATAAAGCTAAGGCAGCGTAAAACTGAAAATTACTCTGATTTTGGATTGATTTTTAAAATAATTGTCCACACACGTTCACACTAAAATGACTTAGTTTATTATTACCCTTAATTATTCCTTAATTAATATCTGCTAAAATTAGAATTATCGAATTTTGTCCAATTTATGGATATTCAAGTTGAAATATATCATACTTTTAAAGCTCATGTAAATGTTTTATTAAATTCGAACCTCTTTTTTTTTGTAGAAATATTAATATGTTGAAAGATAAATGTATTAGCTTCAAAGATGGAAATGATTGTGTAGCCACAGTGATTGACTAATTAGTACACATTGAGAAAAGAAGTTGCTCTCCATTTTGCCATGTTCAATTTTTTGGTAAACTAAGCACACTGACCATATGGTGGCGGAAAACATGTTAGACTTCAAAGTCATCGCGCAAACGTTCCTCACGCGCTGCGGCAGCTTTGTTCTCGGCTCATTTCCGCGGAGCATTTTCGAGTGATCTCCTTCTCAATCAATACCTCCATGGTTAAAGCTTGTGTTTGTTTTAAAGACATTTAACACAATACATAATAAGATTCACTTACCAAAGACCCAACCAAGGAAGTACTTGGACTTAGCAAGCTCAATGGAAAGAAGTAGATAACCAATTTTGTATAGAAACGACCTCTCACTTATGTGAACAGGATCTGTAAGACAATATTTGTATTCAGTTATATGAGCTGTTTTTTCTTGATTCATAATTCCCTGTAAACCACTAACTATAGTATATATTCAATAATGACATCATGTATTTTAATTTCAACAATGTGTATATGATACATAAGTAACCACACAGTAGTCTGAGAAATTTAGTCAACAATAAAATGACAATAATAACAATAACAATATAGCACTGCATTCTGATTAATTTAATTTTTTTCTATTTATTTTGAAATATATCCCATAGCAAAATTTGGCAATAAAAATGATGTAATAAATATATCAAAACAATACAAAAGTGTGTACATCATGTACAGTTAAGTATAAAATAAGTATAAAAATGATGATTGAATTTGCTGAAAATCATTAATTTGGTTTGTGTTATAAAATACATTCGAGGATTGAATTTGCCAGTGTGAAGACGATGGAATGTCGAAAAACATCTCAGGAAGTCTGTGTAACATTTAGCAAAGGTCATTTTGTGTCAAGTAAACTAGGCATTATAGGTAAAACAAATACTGTGTGAACATAAGCTATTGTACACACAGTGCTTCCCTATTTGTGAATGGACTGATGATACACCATTCTTTAGCAAATCAAACAAAAGGCACATCAATTTCAGTTACCTTTTGTTTGGTATTTCACTACCTCATATCATTGAATCATCCACTACAAATGGTGATTACAAACTGATTAAAATCACAATAAATAAAGTTAATCATGATGTGGAATTATACATTACTTTTCATATTATACAACAAAGGCAAATTTTTGCCTGTGGTGCAACACCTCACACTCAAATTCTTTATTGTCCATAGTATTGGAAAAAATTTTAATTGAAATTAACTGAGAAAAGCATTCATAATAGGTAAAAAAAAATTACTGGTACCTACCGACATTACCCCATATTGGAACTTTTGGAACTAACATGACAAGAACAACTGCTGATAACACTGTTATTATTAATTTCCTTATAACTGCTCCCTAAAGAGAAGAAAACAAAACAAAAAGGAAATTAATGTAAAAATCATAATCAGTAGTAATAATGTTATACAAATACCAAGAAACAAAATAGTTGAGTGAAAGTTAATGTCACTTAGTATCTAAGAGACATTAACTTTCACTCAACTATTTTATTTCTTGGTATTTGTATAACATTATTACTACTGATTATACAAATACCAAGAAACAAAATAGCTGAGTGAAAGTTAGTGTCACTTAGTATCTAAGAGAATTCAAGCACTTCCACTCATAGGAAGATTATAAGCATCACAATCCAATTTGTACAAAATACTGTATCTTGTTGGGGGTCACCTATGTTTTTCATTAGAAGAGAGTAATAATATTATGATCATCTTTGATATGATCATGCTGATCATTATTACAATGATCTTCATGATAATCTTGATTATCATAATCACAATCATCATGATTCCAATCATGGTCATTCATGATCATTGTCATTGTTTTTTACTTGGCCTTTTATTATTTTTTTTCTTACTTCGGACACCTTGATTTACAAGCTCTTCTGAGTTTTTTTTGGTTGTCCTTTTCATCATTGTATTTTTATATTTATGCTTTTTGTCTATTTTATTGTTGAAGAATATATGAAATGAAATCACAATCATCATATTTATTACAAATATCATGATGATGATAACCATGATCATCATCTTAATAATGATTCATTATGATTATGATCATGTTAATTATTATCAGAATTTAATTGTTTCATTAATCCAGGTGGTATTGTGTACAATGGTTGGTTCATCTCACAAGACTAAAAATACAGTTATTTCTGGAAGATTCCAAGTACACTGTAACAATTAAGTGTTAATAATTATATGATGTGTTAAAAAAGACAGTTGTAAATTAAAGTACACATGATCCTTCGGTCAATTCCTTCAAGGCCTGTCTGAAGACATTCCACTTTTACCAACATTTTGATTACAGTAGTTTTTCTTTTTCCGTCTAAGTTTGTCTATCTACAGAAAACCCTGATTTTGGTCTCACTTTTAAATCACTCACCTTTCTATGCATGTTTAAAGTTGTAGGATTGTGAAAATTAGGTGATTGTAACAACTATATGCTTGCTTACTGTATAACCAGTGTCGATCTAGGGGTTCCCCCAGCCCCTCCCCCGTATTGTTCGAAGCAAAAAATCATGCTCAAATAGGTAAAAAGCACCTCGCATCACCATATTTTGCGACCTAGCCCCCCTCACTTAATCATCAAGCCCCTACCACTTCACCTTCGTGCCACTACAACCCTCCACCCTTCCCACCCCCAATATTATGACTCCTAAATACACCACCGCTCATATCAAAATATTTTTGACTGAAAGGCGAAAACTCCAAAATCAAGTGACTGCAAACTGATGTATATTGTGTACAATTACACATGTTGTTGATTACACCTACTCAAGATAATAAAACACAGTATTACTGTATATAAAGTGAAGAAATAAACACCCTTGGATGAGGAAAGAACAGGTTTCTCAAAAAATAAATGAATATAAGAAAAGGATGGAAGGTATGAAAGGTAAATCTTTATCATGATTCAAGTATTACGGTTTAGGCTTATTGTATTACTTACATCATCAATATACGTACAGTATTACAGTAAGCCTAGACTGGCAAATTTGGGATACACAGTAAAACAGATGGTACTATTGTACACACTGCAATGAATTACATGTAGCAGACAGATGTATGTCTACAAAAATTTATAGCAGAATTATTTAGTGACATGGTGCATTCTGCTGGTACAGGATAGATCTTATGAGCATACTGATAGTTAAAACATAGATGGATCTGGTGCAGTTGTATGATTAACTAAAAAAAAAAACTCATTAGAAAACAACAAGAAAATCGGACTTAATCAGGAATCAAATTTTTTCTTGTAAGTTAATCGTATTAACACAGATACTCAACCACTGGGCTGAAACATTTCTCAGGAAACAATCGTTTTTCCAGCCAAAAATCTGGCTGATTTTATATTTGAGGATGGGAGAGGCATTGCTAAAGAAGTGAATCTTATTATATGGTATAACCTACTGACACATTATAATTAGTATAAAAAGAATGTTTGAGATGTTAGAAATGAAAATAATTTGAAGTACAATTTGTGTTGGTCTGCCACTGGCCCCAACATATTGGTACTGGCAACCAGATTAAAAAGGTTGAATATCCAGCTACTATACAAATCATAGAAGGTATTTAATTATAAACTTTTAAATTACGAATAAAAAAATGTTATGTACCGCTGATGAAGGGTCGTCATAGACTACTTTGATTTCGCCTTTCTCGTCCCTCACTACCTTGCGGAACTTAGAACCCTCAACAAACTCGATGTACTCTGTGAAGAAGCAGACAGGGCCGGCAAGAAGACTAGACACGCAGAAAATGAAACTGTAGAATTCCAAAGGTCTTGGTACTTCTCTGTAAAATAATTATAATGCAAAGTAATATCATTACATTGATTCAAGATATACTGTCTTTGATGAGCTTAAAAAAAAAATTGAAAAACAAAATTTCATATTTACATTGCTTATGTTTATAAAGTTAGTTTTTACAATTGAAAATTAGAATACCGCATTGACAAATGACTGATGTTTAAATCATAAAATGTTATATTCTTTGTAGACTATTTGTGGCTGGATGGGAAAACAGTTAAGTTTATGGGACTGTGTAAAGCATGTTTCCGGAACAAAATAGTGCTTGAGTACCTTCTGAATGATTTTCCCAGGGAATTTACCTCAGTCTCCTTGGTCCTGTAAAAATATGCTCACAAAAAATCAAGAACATGACATTTGAGAGTCACTTATGATGAGTAATTTTCTCAGGGTCCAGAAATCTACCCAGTATGAAAAGGGATTTGATTTTTTGAATCTGCATAAAATACCATAGACATAAGGCATAAAAAACATTCCATTTTTTTAGCATTGTTTTAATACAAAGAAATTGTCAGCAACATTTATGATTATAATAAATCCACCATATAAACCCTTTATTATGCCAATATGGTTTTCAGGTATGTCCATGAAATATTAATTTCATATATATTGTCTTGTACGATAAAAATTAATTATATTCTGAAGTCTGAAAAATATATTTTTGAATAGTATCTATTCTTTTTAAATTTAAAATATTTTAAAATTATAATAACATATTTTCCAACATGGCAGAGGAGTTATAAGTTATTTTCATATCATGTTCAGACATCAATTACATTTTGTCACAGACATTACACATGATATCCAGACAAAATAAGTTATATGAGATATTTATTGGATACACTTTGAATAAGTGGGACACAATTGATGACATTCTAACGGTGAATCCAGAATTTACAGCAACCTTAAATAAAGAATATCAACTTAAAAAAAAATACATTGTTAAAACAATAAGACAGAAAATTGGTCATTTAGATATTGTAACCCAAAATCACAAATGAGTGTGGCAGGCATACAAGATAATATTGTACACACTCCTCTACTGTATAAAATGTTCAGACTAGGTGGCTCAATGTTGTGTTGGGCTCTCAGTCAAATATAGTGTCCCTCTTCGCACTTTGTAATTTTCTGAGCCAAATTTTAAATAAACAAATAAAAAACTAAAGCAGTCATTTTCAAAGAGAGGATATACCGCTGCCCTGTGCCTAAATACCGAACAACACAAGATTATTAGCGTTTACTGCGAGACGGACGATTCCATTCTCTTATTCCTGGATTAAGTTTCAAGTAAATGTTTAAATTTCTGGGACTTTGACCTTGTTTTTTGACCCCAAAATTTATCTACCTTTTATCAAAATTTAACACGCCACTAAATTTTAGGATGATGCATTCTTTACTTTTTGTATAATCATAACAGACAAGCAACGCTGATTAAACTCATTGGAAGAAGTAATATTTGATCACAACACACCCACATACTACAGTAATGCACGCATGATGTACACGTACCAATAGCTGTAAAACTGTGCTCCATGTACCATAAATTTTGGTATGGAAACCAACTGAATTCTACATCACAATAGATTGTTAACAAATGCTTATTGTTGGAAATTGACATTTACAGTGCACTTATATTGAATTAAAAATCTTATGCTCTAATCTAAACCACGCCTAGGACGTGATTTACAGGTAGAAAAAAAGAAAGATTGCTACGAACTTGAATGCTTTCTCACATTTTTGAGGCTCATACATCTTTTTACTGGAAAGAGATGCACATGAAAATTGCTACTTAATGTGATTTTCCCTTGAAACTTCACAAAATTAGCTAGCTAAAAACATCATACTACAATCCAAACATGTCAAAATTTAAATATTGTGCAATATCCACATAGGCAAGCATAGTTTTGATTAAATTAAGCATAGCTTTAATTAAACAATTTACTTACTAAACTTATAACCTGCTATTACAATACTTTATACAACCTTTTTTAAAATTTAAAATAATTTTTGTTATTGAAATTAAGTTCAAGTTATATCGGACTGTTTGGATGCATCTTTTTTTGTTGTTTACATTGAGTTACGTGATGCGGGACAAAACCATAAGACTGTGACATCTGTGACGCCACCCATAATCTATTGTATATTTTATAATATCTGATGACATCAAAAACAATTCATCTTTCATCCTTCATCAAGAACAGTTCATGAAAATGAATTGGAATGAAAGTGTGATATTGCTGTAAGTTAGATTCCGTAACGAAAATTTTTAATTTATATGTATTGTTTTGTAATCTTTGTGCAATGTATAGACCTACTGTACACTCTTGTGTCATAAGTTTTTTAACACCCAGGGTGTTGGAAATTGTGTTGAAGTGTTGCAAGGTGTTGCATTCATAACACTTTGAATAGGTGTTAAGCAACGCCTTCACAGTGTGCATGTTGTAACACTTGAAGTAAGTGTTAACAGCGCCGCCATCGCTAACGAGCGGGGCCAGATTCAAAATTTTGAAAACGATTGCCATATTGGAATCGCGGTTCGAGGTTCCGATATTACTTGGAACTTGGAATAAACTTGGCTGGAAAGTAAGATAAGATTTGATTGATTAATCTATAATGAACTTATAATTCATATTCACTTAACTTAGGCCTAGTATTATTAATTTGTGTTCGCAATTAGGCCTAGGTAGAAGTGGTCCTTTCCTTGACCTGGCCGGTGGTTAGCCTATAGGATCTGTCTCTTATACACATCTAGATGTGTATAAGAGACAGTTATTACACATAGGAACTGTATTACATTAGACCCAAAAATTATTACAATCAATCATTTGTCAATCATGGCCATTATTACACTGCATTTAGGACATTGCATTTAGGACCTTTATTACATTTAGACCCAAAAATTCTTAGAACCTTTATTACATTTAGAACCAAAAATTATTACACATAGGACATTTATTACATTTAGACCCAAGAATTACTACACTTAGACCCTTTATTACATTTAGACCCAAAACTTATTACACATAGGACCTTTATTGCATTTAGACACAAAAATCATTACACTTAGAACCTTTATTACATTTGGACCCTAAAATGCATAGGACCTGTATTATATTTAGACCCAAAAATTATTACAATCAATCAATCATTTGTCAATCATGGCCATAATTACAGTTAGGACATTGCACTTAGGACCTACATATATTTATTTATACATTCTTTCATAATGTATGCATGTTCTGCTGCCTTCCTTTTCCCTTCTTTCACGAGCCATAGAAATTGTCATACTGTTGCATAGTAGTGGAGTCTTGCGCTCTACAATAAGTTCTGAATATCTGAAGCTTCATTTTGATTTACTAATTCTGGCAACACCAAATCATAAAGTTTGAATTCTGGCAACAGCATTAGGATCGATCGCCAATTCGCCATTGGACCCGAAGACGGATGGAGCCGTAGGCGTTAAAAGCCGTGGTTTTTAGTAATAAAATGCCTAAAAACGGATGTTATTAAGCAGAATCTTAATGAAGAACCATCGTAAGATATTGTTAGGAGCACACAGTAGGTAAAAAGACAAGTTTTGAAGATAGAAGTGTTACAGTACTAAAGTGCATTAGCGATTGTTAGGAGCGCACAGTAGGTAAAAAGACAAGTTTTGAAGATAGAAGTGTTACAGTACTAAAGTGCATTAGCGATTGTTAGGAGCGCACAGTAGGTAAAAAGACAAGTTTTGAAGATAGAAGTGTTACAGTACTAAAGTGCATTAGCGATTGTTAGGAGCGCACAGTAGGTAAAAAGACAAGTTTTGAAGATAGAAGTGTTACAGTACTAAAGTGCATTAGCGATTGTTAGGAGCGCACAGTAGGTAAAAAGACAAGTTTTGAAGATAGAAGTGTTACAGTACTAAAGTGCATTAGCGATTGTTAGGAGCGCACAGTAGGTAAAAAGACAAGTTTTGAAGATAGAAGTGTTACAGTACTAAAGTGCATTAGCGATTGTTAGGAGCGCTGCACTACATCCTTAACCTACATTATGTAAAAGCCCTTGAATTTTGTTATATCTTCTTGGAAGTGCATGCATATAACATCAGTTTGCCTGGAGAAAAGATTCCAAATAAAGTAGCGGAACTAATTTCTAACCTGGCAGCACTAAAATTATAGAGATTAACAAATTATCTATCTCTGAATCTTGTTGATTTAGACTTTATTATAAAAATCCTAATTTCATTTTTTATTTGTATATCTAGGAATAGTACACCTGAGATGTTGTCATCATAATTGATGAAAAGCAGCCACATTATTATTTTTTAATTTCCATATAAGCCATAGCCTACTTGCACCTAATGCTGAAACATACAACCTGTCAAATAGCAATTTGAACATTGAATTTAATTTTTCAAGTTTTTTTAGCTGATGACAGACATATATTTGTATTACAGTGCGATAGTGACTCATTAAAAGTCTTGTAAGTTATAAAGTAAATAAAGAAATGCTTACTGTAGTATAATAGTGATTTAATAGATTTGTTGAATGGTTACACATTGGCTAGTTGTGAAATAAATGTGAATTTTGAGTTCAATTTGAGTTGCTGTAGCTTATTAGGCTTTTGACGTTTGCAAGATTCGAAATCAACACCACCAGTTTCTAATACTCATACAGTATTTAAGTTTACAACACTTACAATGTTAATTACACTCTTATGAAGTTTAAAATCTACACTAATAACGTGTTAGATCTGTTACACTTTATTTAAATTACAACATTTTAAATGTTAATAAAACACTTATGAAGTTTAAAATCTGCAACACTTTAATTAAATAAAGTGTTAATTACACTCTTATAAAGTGTCAAATGAACACCACAAAGTGTTAAAGATCCTACACTTTCATAAGTGTTGAATATGTAACACTTTTTTGAGAGTTGAAACAACACTTACGGTGTTGTCCCTGTAGAGACACTTGCTAAGTGTTATATATAACACCTAAAGCGT